ATTAATGAAGATATTGAACAAAACCAGCCCCAGGGACCGACCCTTGGGGCACTCCGCTTGATACCGGCTGCCAACTAGACATGGAGCCATTGATCACTACCTGTTGAGCCCAATGATCTAGCCAGCTTTCTATCCACCTTATAGTCCATTCATTCAGCCCATACTTCTTTAACTTGCTGGCAAGAATAAAGTCAAGGAATAACACATCCACTGGGAGGGAGGGATAGCTCAGTGGTTTGAGCATTGGCCTGCTAAACTCAGGGCTTGTGAATTCAATCCTTGAGGGGGCCATTTAGGGATATGGGGCAAAAATCTGTTGGATGATTTAATTGGGGATTGGTCCTGCTTTGAGCAAGGGGTTGGACTAGATGATCTCCTGAGGTCCCTTCCAACCCTGATAGTCTATGATTCCCCTCATCCACAGAGCCAGTTATCTCCTCATAGAAGGCAACTGGGTTAGTCAGGCATGACTTGCCTTTGGTTAATCCATGCTGACTGTTCCTGATCACTTTCCTCTCCTTTAAGTGCTTCAGAATTGATTCCTTGAGGACCTTCTCTATGATTTTTCCAGGGACTGAGGTGAGGCTGACTGGCCTGTAGTTCCTCGGATCCTCCTTCTTCCCTTTTTAAAAGATGGGAATTACATTAGCCTTTTTCCAGTCATCCGGGACCTCCCATGATCGCCATGAGTTTTCAAAGATAATAGCCAATGGCTCTGCAATCACATCCGCCAACTCCTTTAGCACCCTGGGATACAGCGCATCCGGCCACATGGACTTGTGCTCTTCCAGTTTTTCTAAATAGTCCCGAACCACTTCTTTCTCAGAGGGTTGGTCACCTCCTCCCCATACTGTGCTGCCCAGTCCAGCAGTCTGGGAGCTGACCTTGTTCGTGAAGACAGAGGCAAAAAAAGCATTGAGTATATTATCTTTTACCACATCCTCTGTCACTAGGTTGCCTCCCTCATTCAGTAAGGGGTCCACAGTTTCCTTTACCTTCTTCTTGTTGCTAACATACCTGAAGAAACCCTTCTTGTTACTCTTAACATCTCTTGCTAGCTGC